GGCCCGTACGGCTCGCAGGACTCGGTGCACAGCAGTCCCGAGGACGCCGGCGGCGGCAGGGACCGGCCGCCGGGCGGGGGCCCCGGCGGGCCGCGCCTGGTCATCGGCTCCTTGCCAGCTCACCTCTCGCCGCACATGTTTGGAGGTACGGACCTTTACCCCTTTTCTCCTTAAGCGGGAGCAGCGGGCTGCTCGCGCCCGGTCCCCAGCCTCCCGGGGAGCGAGTCTCCACTTGATCTTTGCGGCAGCATTGCCTTGCAGAGACTTTAAAGGGGATAAGTGTCCCCTCACTTTTGCAGCGGTTTCCCATTAGAGAGCAGCCCTCACCCCGAGATAAATGGGTTTTTTAAACACAACAGCCTTGTGGTCGCAGCATGTCGCGTAAGGAAGTGTAGCAAAGACCTGCTGTTTAAATGGAGCTCTGTCTGGACTGAGTGGTGAGCAAGGCCAGAAGGCAGACTCTCAAATGAGCCGAGGGGCATTGGGCAAAGGAAGGGGTTATCCATTCTAGGAGAAGGGATCTCAGGGGCCCAGTGAGTATAGCGCTGGGTTTCTGATCGAAAGGTCAGTGGTCGGATCCCCCTGCTCCACGACCGTCCACTTCCATAAAGCTTCCCAGCCTGGGGAGCCCAGTGGGGCTCTACTCTTGTTTCGCAGAGGGTTCGATTTTTTTTTTTTTTTTGTCTCCTTTGAGCTGACTTTTAGTATCTGTAATCCAGGGTAAGTAGCCTGGCCTACCACGCACCCTTTAATTGGATGGTGTTAATGAAGTGTAATTTTAACGACCAGGAAAGTGGTGCAGGTGAAAGTCACGTGACTCCAGCTGCGTTTGGACAGAGCCCTTTTAACAATTGTGAACAAGTTTGTTCCAGGAGACAAACTTTGCGGGACCCTGCCTGCCAGGTGCAGTAAGAGCTTTGGTGTTTTGAAGAGCCACATTCTAGTTAAGGAAGTAGCACTTGTGGAAATTGAAAACTTAACTATTCGTGGCAAAATGATGTGCACTTAAGTAGCAGACCAGGAAGAAGGCTATATTTTCTTGGGGAAGAGAAATTTACCCTTTGTGTTTCATGAGGATTTATTTACTTTCCAATCAGAGGAAATGAATCAAGACATCACTCAGCCCTCATTGAAAAGAAACAGAAATTACATCTGGTTAAGAGATGCTGACCTTGTAATATTTGCTGTTCTGTGTCACTCCTTTATGTATCTGATAGTATATAATGAATTGACAGTGGAGTGTAGATGAACAGGGAAAAATCATTATAAGGATAGCCGTGTTTATAAAGTTGTGAATTTTGAGTGAAGACTTGGTATAGGCAATATTCATTGATGTGACTTGTCACTTGCGGTCTTGGGTATTTACATTTGCATAAATTCAGAATGGGAGTGTCGTCTTTCATTTTTCTCATCTTTCTAATACTTTGTGTATTTGATGTGGAACAACTCTTGATTTTAGTTAATCTTTAAATGAGTTACTTTAAAGGAGTTTTTATTATGTAAACATTAAGAGTGGCATTTCCTGGAATTGTGTCATCTTTTGAAAATCCTTTGTTCTTTAGAAGTACTAGGGAAGTCATTACTTTGTTCTGATCACCACCAAAGCAGTTGAAGGTGCTACAGTCACCAAGGGAAAGACAGCTTCCTGAGAATTGGAGATTATTGACAGAATAAACAGATTTTAAGAAAGAATTACCTTTAAAATCTTCAGATACGGGTATTTAAAAGCTTCGGGTAAAGAAGTATGGTGACCAGTTAAAGTAGAAAAAGGCTTGCAAAATAATAGGTTTTATTTCTGTATTATATTGATTAGTTATTAAAATAAATGTTGCCAATTTTTAAATTGTCTCTTTTGATAGAAATTTGTATGCCCTCACTTCAGAGAATGCTAATTTGACATCCATGCTGCTCATTCGTAGTGAATTGGTAAGTGAAGATCTAGTTACTGCGAGTAGGAGGAATAGCAGCCAAGCACTTATCTAAATTCCTGGAGTTGTGCACCTGAGTATAGATAGCTATTTAGTACTTTTGAGGTTAGGGTTACAGGGGCCTGGTAGCAGGATAGTAACACTGAATGGGGAATTTCTGACAGTCTCTTTCAGTGGGGTTTCTGGAAAAAAATTGCACCCAATGTTTATAATGAACTATTCTGCTTTGAATTTAAAACTGTAATGATTATGTACCATTCTTGAGAAACTTGGCAAAATAATCACTCTGTCATTCAGATGAGAAGCCTCAGAGAAGGGCTGGAAGGAGATTGATCAGTACCTGTCTCTCTTATGTAATGGGATCCCATCAAAGTGCCAGGACCCTGAGTGCCTATTCAGGACAGGAAGATGGAAGATACTTGGGTCAAAGCATATGTTTCTGGGGCTTTGGCCTTAATGAAGTTTTTAAGCTTGTATTTTAGTTGATGAGATCATCAGGGAAATTTATTGGAAGCATGTAGAGTCTTCCCATCTTGTGATTTAGAGTGTAAGATGTTGAGTTTTATTATTTTAACAATTACATTGATTATGCGTAACATCACCTTAATTTTATTATGTTTCACTGTTAATATATTTGGTTACAGTTTATGCATGTTTAAGCATATATTAAACATTATGAATGAACCTAGTTTGAATATTGAGGAAAGGAGTTGTTTCTGAATGTCAGTGGAAGTTTGAGTTGTAGTGTAAAACGTATTTAATTGCTGACTCTATTATTGCTTCTTGTAGCTGACCGAGGATAAAGTATATTAATAAGTATTAATGAGACAGAACACTAAGAATGTATAAATAAAAAGAGGTAAAGCATAAGAAAATGAGGGAGCGCTGGTAATGTAGTTGGTTGGAAGTTGCTAACCATAGGCAGTACCCCTCTGCTGCTTTGAATCCACCAGATGCTCCACTGGAGAAAGATGGACAGTCTCCTCCTGTGCGGTTTAGTCTCTGAAAACCTGCTGGAGGGTCAGCTTTGAATTGATCCTTGCTTGATGACAACCAGGTTTTTTTTTCAATGAATGGGAAAATATATACCAATAAGGTTCAAAATTACCATTCTCTTGTGGGTGGATGTATAATTTATAAGAACTAAAACTAAACAGTGTCACTTTTTTCCTTTTAAAAGACTAGCAAATCAGAATTGTTTACTAGTTCATCTTAAAGTATTGCTAAATTCAATAAGGAGATTTTCTGTATTGAGTTTTATGTTTTGGCCTCTTCTGTATATTGGCTGTGCTCACTTTTGTTCAGTTCTTTCCAGAGAACTAGAAGAGAGATACCTAATCCAGATATTTCAACATACAGAATTTCCAAAAATTGAGTTGTTGACCTTAGAATAAAGTTTGTAGAATGTCCTGATTATAATCTGTATTGGAGTTTTTAGGTGAAGTGGATCTTACTGTTCTTTTCAAACTGTTGAACTAATAATATTAAACTTCTTTCACCTTTGTTTTAAAATAAATTTTTAAAGGTGCAGTCTAATATTTAAAAGCTTTGGCAAGACATAGGGAAAAGAATGTATTTTAGACAATTTCTTTTGTCCACTCTTTTGGTTGCTTATTAATATTCCCAACAATAATTAATTTGGGTGGTAAAATAGACTTTATTGATGCATGATGAATGGAGATGAACTGGACTATGAAAATATGCAAATAAATGATTATTTAGAAAGAAATCCATGTGGATTTCTTTCAGAATGTTTATAGAAGCTGGAAATGAAAATGTAAAATGTATTACAGTAATGTGGATAGTTAACCAGTGGTGCCAAATTGCTTTTGGCTCTCTTCTAACTATTTTGAGCTTGTTTTGGTATGGACTGCCCTTGTTAAGTTGCCTAACTATAATTTAGATGCCTCCTGTTACTAATGGATTCAGAAATGTTTGATTGATTGGAAGTATAGATTTTCTCTTAAAACTGGTTATGTTAAATACAATCTGTATTTCTAGGTTCGGCCCTTTTGATTTTCCGACTCCCAACTCCTTGCACATTTCATTGTAATATTTTGCTTTGTCATCCCGTGCTGCCTTTTGAAATCTTCTATTCAACTCTTTAGTATCTTGAATTC